GTTGTGCAGTTTATAGGTTTTATACAGCCATTATTTTTCATGGATCACTGCTTCACGTTCTGTTCAACATGATGGCATTGGTTCCTATGGGCTCTGAGCTGGAGAGAATCATGGGATCTGTCCGCTTGTTTTACCTGACCATTTTGCTGGCAACGACCAATGCCATATTGCATCTTCTTATAGCATCCTTGGCGGCATTTAATCCCTTCTATCAGTATGGTTATCTCATGAATGAATGCGCGATTGGATTTTCTGGAATCTTATTTTCTATGATTGTCATTGAGACAAGTCTCAGTGGAGTCACCTCTAGGAGGTAAGCCTTGTCTATGGATATTAAAATGCAAGCATATATTAGCTTCTTGTTAGAATTGAGAACAGTCTCTTCCATCATGTTAATGCTACACATGCCTGTGAAAGTGCCTTCTGCACATATATTTTTAAGAGATACCGTTTTATGTCTTCTGTGTGTGGGTTATTTTGCGAATTCTTTGTGTTCATGAGGCCTCTCATATATCTTGATTTGCTCCTATCTTTCTCTATGCAGTGTGTTTGGTCTCTTCAACGTGCCTGCTAAACTGTAAGCTCCTTGTCTTGCTTGTCGGCATCTTAATGTCCACCTGTATTTTTTGTTTGTACATATGATGTAAAATTTGTATCCATTTGCAGATATCCATGGATCTTATTGATAGCATTCCAGCTTCTCATGTCGAATGTTTCACTGCTCGGACACCTATGTGGCATCCTATCTGGATTTTCATGTATGTTTTGTTTACCTGTTTCATGGCCTTCTGCTTTCTATACCTGCATTTTGTTTGGCACTAATCTGTTCGTCCCTTTAAATTTCAGATTCTTATGGCCTCTTCAATTTCCTGATGCCTGGCTCTTCATTTTTCTCCACCATTGAGTCAGCCTCCTGGATGGTAAGTACCTCAGAAGATTTGGCTTGTTAATGTTTCGTTTCTTTTGTTAACCGAGAAGCCATTCGAGAACCAAAAACTCGTACCACTTTATTTACAGCTACTAATGACAACGTTAATTGCCAACCACTTTGTAGTTTTACTGTATTTTGATATGTGGCTTGCAATCATATGTCTCTCTGAACTAAGTGTTGCTCATTAAGATTCCATATGTCCTTCTCCAGTCTAGCTGCATAAGGCGACCCAAATTCATTATGTGCACTGGTGGGAACCCTTCCAGCTACATGCCCACTTATTCTGTACAAAACACGACATCCAGGTGCGAATCCCTAACTACATACGAAAAACTGAACTGCTTGCCTAGAGAACACCGTAATGACATTTTTCTTTGTACAGTGGTTTCTCTACAGGAAACGCTTGGAGATCGTTGTCTTCTTGGTTGCCACAGAGGGAAGCATCTAATCAGGTACGCTCATACTAATTCTTTTCAGTCACTTTTCTTCGCCTTGGCGGATGCATTCACATCTATGATCTAACCTTACTATTTGCAGTCTTCTGAGGACAGTAGATTTCCGGGAAGAGGTAGAACTCTTAGTACTACTCGTAATCCAACCGGTCCAGATGGAGAAACAGACCCAAACCTCCATGCTAGACTTCTGGAAGATAACAGCTCTCCAGACCGACTTTCTGATGCAAGTCTGACCGGCACGACAGAGCCAAACCCCACTACAAGGTAATTGATTTCGTCAATGTATGAATTATTATCTTACTATGCCACCATTCCTTCAACCTCACCCTCATATGTCAACCGTTTGCAGACAGGTTCCAATAGCAAATGGAGCAGTCCTGCCTCAATCCCAGGTTAGTTCCTTGTTTTAGATTTTTGCTTGCAGACATGAGCCCTTTCAAAGTATCTAGAAGCTTTTCTCTCATTGTAACTATTAGACGCAGGGTCGTGGCGCTGCTTCTGAAGAACAAATCCAGAAACTAGTCGCCATGGGCTTCGAAAGGGTACGTTTCTTGAGCTTTTCCATGATGAGAAACAAATATTGACATAATTGTCTTAACAATCTCTGGGTAAAATTCAGACGCAAGTGGAGGTTGCGCTTGCTGCTGCAGATGATGATCTAACCGTAGCAGTGGAGATCCTTATGAGCCAACAGGTATAAAACTTGTCCGAACCAGAGTTCTATATCCTAACACACCTTTTGAGTTTAGACACTACTAACAAAGAAGTCATTATGATATAACTTGGTCAAATGCAGGGATAACAAACACCAAGTCGCTAAGTACTACGTTTGGCTTTGTACTGTACCGTTCGTGTCTCGTTCCATCTTTTTACTTGCATTTAGAAACTGTATAGCGTCTGTTTACTCTTGAAGTGCTTTAACCAGACGATCAAACCGGTTTCCGGTTTAGAATCCATACAAACGTAAAGTTGATTGGGCTGAATTTCGTGTTTTTGCAGTATCTCTAGTTATTT